TGGGAGCAATAGTTATATTTCTAATCTTTTATGAACAAGACATAATTAATTATGAGAAATTACATTGCGGCAATGCAAGATCATTTGTCCTTGACTTGGAAAGTATTTCTAAGATGAAAGAACTGGGTAAGACAATATACATTCTTGGAATGTAAAACCTATGGAGATAGATAAGATGAATGTTAAAGTTTTAAATCTTTATGCATATAACGACAATATGTTGAAAGAGATCAATTTATAAGATTCCTTTAGAGGGCTCTTGACATTGCCACACGACACCATTTTGAATCTGCTTCAAAAGAACCTAGCAAATAGGTTTGTGCTAGATAAAATGATTTATATTCTATTTTCCATGGTAAATTAATCTATCATTTATGTCATATTATGCACAAAACTAGGTATATGATCAAGCTTTGAACATATAACAAAATACTAATAAGATTCATTGGTAAGTCATTAGATGGCAATAAAGTCATTCTAAGTTTACTTAAGAAGAATTACAGAATATACATGAGATAATCAGTTTTAAAGAAGATTTTTATGTCAAGAGCTACATAATATGCTAACCCCAAGACAAATAGAGATAATTATAAATTATAATTGGATTATGTCTTCATTATGAATGAAGAAAGAATTTTTTTGGAAAGAGCTCTTAGAAAAATGAATATGTACAATCTACTACATAATCAGAAAAAATTGCTACATTAGAAGATGCAATAAAGTATGATTGGATGAATAAGTTCATCGAAAAACTAAGTTGAGTCATTCCATTCAACGATAACCTAGAAATTTTTTATGACTTTAATAGTATACTTAATCAAACTAAGAGACTCTAAGTCACATCAGAACATGAATCATCTTCTGGATGATATTTAACAATATTTATAATGAAGTCAAATATAGAGATGATAGTATTCACATAATTCACACAAATTAAATTTGGATCCAATATATTTAACTATACATAGAATTGAATCAATTAAACTTGTGTGTTTAAACAATAATATTAAATCACTATTTAAATAATCAATCATGTGAGGACACATGTTAATAATTAATATTAAGCACATACACACACACACTCACACCTATATATATATATATATATATATATATATATATATATATATATATATACTAGCCGTCTTTCAAGGATAATCACTAATTTCGTGGGCTTGAATGGTTACCATGAGTATTTCTTAATTATTTTTTGGAAAGAATATAAATAAAAAATAATGCCTAAAGTAGAAGGACTAATCTGTTATTTCTTTCATCGCCCCCAATATGTCAATATTGGCACTGATAGTACGTAAGTGTAGCTAACATTATGGAATAAGGAGAAGAAGGAACAAAGAAGAAGGTCTCAACAACAACTGATTTTATTACAGGACAGCTCATAATGTTCATATCGATCTATTATGCGCCTCTACATCTAGCATTGGGTAAACCTCATACAATAATTGCCCTAGCTCTACCGTATCTTTTGTTTCATTTCTTCTACAATACTCACAAACACTTCTTTGATTATGGATCTACTAACATAAATTCAATCTCGAGAATATGAACATAAAATAGATCTTAATTCTCCAGACTATGAACAGAAAATAGAAAAATTAGAAAAAAAATCCAAGCCCAAATTGATTTAAATAATCGACTCATTTTTTTATGGACCACAGTTAGAGGTCAAAAAACTCTAGTGGAATAAACGAAATCGGTAAAAAAAAAATCCCCTCAATGGTCATACTAATTAATAAACGAGTTACACCAAAATTTATAAAAACCACGAAAAGAACAATGCATTATATATATATATATATATATATATATATATATATATATATATATATATATATATATATATATATATATATATATATATATATATATATATATAGACACACACACACAATAGCCATTTATCCGCGCCAAGCAACCGGTGCGGATAGTTTTTTTATAACTTGATTTTTAGAGACGATTAATTTTTTGCACAAATAGCTTACTAAATCTTGGAAATTATCAATAAGAATAATGTTAATACAAATGAAATCAATAAGAATTAAAAATGAAAAATTGAATTATTTACAAATATACATAAACATATGATTGATTGTGTATTATTAATCGTGCAACATCTATTTATACACCACATGTGATGTATAGACTTTACTACCGTTGTCACTAATACTTTTGTATTAACACGTGATATCTTTCTCGATAATGTCACATAAATTTAGAGACTAAACCATTTTTTAGTATAAAATTTAATCGTGTTGGGTTAGGTTTAAAAAACGGAACCGCATTGGTTAAAAACAAAAGCAAAAAAGGTTTAACCTATATTTTATGTGGTTTCAATATTAGATAAAAATGCCGAAATCTACGGTGAGGTACATATTATTTATTGTACATTACATTTGAATGTACGCATGTTTTATAAAATTTTATGTAGATTGAGCTTTAATTGTAATGTTCATTCGTATGATAGAAAAACAAAATTTTAAAATTAAAGTGTATGATATTAAATAGGTTCATTTAGTTAGTATGATCAAATATAATTGTTCCAAGACTAATTTGTTATGCGTATTTTATAAATACAAAATGAGAAATATTAAGTATTTCTAATCAGGGGTGGAACTTTGTCAAAAAGAAACCTGTTAATGTTTTTTAACAAACAAATTATAAATTTTTATTTGTATTTATATTACTTCACTATATTTGGCTATTTGCTATCGACCAGTTTGTGACCATTTTTTTAACAAAAATTATGATCTCTACTTATATTGTTTAATTAGTTATTAAAATTGTTGAGAAGAACTACAAAATATGACTTACTAAAATATTTATGAAAATTTAACTAATCCAAAATAAAGTAAACAAAAAAATAATTTAATATGATCGATTAAAATGACAATTACAGTACTCAAAACATTCTTTTTTCTTAACGACCGCATTCACAATAAAAATTAATTTCAAATACTAAAAGATATTTGAGCTAATTATTGTTATAGAATACATAAATTAGTACTTTAGATAGAAATTTTTGGATACTTTGATGTAATTATCGTCAACATCTTGAAACTTGATACTTTTCAGTAGTGTTTTGAGCTTTTATATCCAGATTTGTTAGGAATGTTAGATCATTATACTTTAAGATAAATATAATATTACCAATTTATTACATACATTAAAATTTACATACATTAAAAATTAGAAAAAGATTTAAGCATAACATAAAATAAAACACCAGTACTAAAGTTTTTTAATAATAACAATGAAATTCATTTGAATATTAACGAGAAGTAAATCACGTAAATAAGTTTTAAACCAAATGAGAATTTTAATATTAACAATGAACATCCTACATGAAGGCAAGGGCAAAGGTGTATAACATCAAAACAATGTTTTAAAACCCGGATCAACCCGGCCGGTTCAACCGGTTGGACTGTGATCCGGGATAAAAGGCGGGTCAATTAAGACAAGTTTTTTGTAAAAATACGACGGATTGACCCGTTTTAATAGGTTTGGATAGTTAGATACAAGTAGCGAACCCCAAAACAACGAGTCGTTTGCGGTTTCTTCAATGTTTTTCAATGTTTTTAAATATTTAAACTTTGTGGACATCAAATTATTGGTTTTATATGTTTATACATTATGCATGAAAGTAAAAATATATAAAAATAGAAAAAAACCATAAATCGGGTTGACCCGGTTGACCCGTGAACCGGTCATCATACCGGATCAACCAAAAACCCGGGTTTTAAAACATTCCATCAAAAGACTATAACATCAACATATTCTTTTCTTATGTCCAATACTAAGTCGATGGCCCCGGGTTTAATCAGCTTGGGAGATATATCTACAACATCTAGTTCTAAAATAAAACGCGATTGCATATGATGTCCGAATATAACTTTATTGCAAAAACTGTAAAAGGTGACATTTATGCTTTGCAAAATAATGATAGCCTAAAGAACTCACATCCTGAAGGGCATCTTGTATATCATGAATAACCCTTCTCATGTCAGATCTCACACTTTCATATATTTCACTTGAAGTAGTGTCTTTTCTTGAGTTATCCCCTTCAAGCGAATGCAGTTAATGGAAATGTCAAAAAATAAGTAACTAAATAATCTTATTTTATATTTATATTTAGACCTCATTCGTTAAATAAAACCTGACGAATTAAACCCTTTAAACAATATCTTGTGAGCATTATCCAAGCTAAAATGTCACCAACAGTGAGTTAGAACCACACAAAAGAAATATGTCACAGACAAATTAATTTGAGACAAATAATATGAACAAATTGTAACAATATGTAGCAGGGGAGAATTAAAGACAAAAAGTAACCTTTTTATATGAACTATATGGTTTCCTTGGCATATAAAAACTAGGGATGAGCAAAAACCGAACTGAAAACCGAAAAACCGAAAAAAACGACATAACTGAAACCGAAAAACCGAAACCAAAGCAATAACCGACCGTTTGAGTTTGAATTTTACAAAAACCAAAAAATAACGGTTTGGTTTGGTTTTAACGTATAAAATCACCCATAAAAACTGAACCGACCCACATATATATTATTTATATTATGATTTAACTTTTAGTTTTAGACTTTATACTTTATCTTTTTAATACTTTATGTTTATTTTCAACAAACTGTTGATGATGTTAAATTTTGATCTTTTGAACACTTTTATGTTTTTATAATACTAGAATTCGTACTTTTTATTTTAGTATATTTAAAGTAGATACAATACTATTAATCGCAACGTATTTTCACTAGGTTTGAAACCAAAAACTAGAAAAAAAAAAAAAAAAAAAAAAAAACAGGAACTCATAAACCCACGGTTTAAAACTGAAAACCCATAAACCTAACCCGGAAAACCGAAAAACCGACCCATGCAAAAACCGAACCTATATGGGTTTAAAAACCGATTTTTTACGGTTTGGTTTTGTTTTAGCCAAAAACCGACCCATACTCATCCCTAATAAAAACTCATATGTGCGATCTCCTTCATCGAAGAAGGAGAAGACGGGTTCTTGAACACCAAAGTAAGATTTTATTATAAACTAAAGAACACATTTTAAGATTACATTGATACCTATATACACATCGGGAAAAGAGGGCTTTCCAGCAATGCAAAATGCAAAAGCACAAATAAACTTATATTGAACAATAAACAAAATCAACTTGAAAGCCACAAACCAACACATCCATATTTGATAATTAAGGTTACCTTTATTCAAAAACACTCTCAAAGATCAAAAACTCAATAGCAACTCTACCGATCTGGTTAAATTTTCTACAAAGCAAGAAATACAAGAATTACCAACAAATGAAATAGCCCTTCCTGAGACACAGGGGTATAATGGTAATTTTTAGGGAACTTTCAAACATTTTTTGAGAACTCAATAGCAACTCCACACCTGTTCAACAGGTTCCTCCTGCCAATTATCGAACATTAAAAAAATGAAACTTTGAAAAGCAAAATCCATATAATTTGTGGCAAAAGGATCAGTCATGTGTTTAAAGAAGTACAATAAGACTGAGATAATCAAGACATAAGGTTGACCTACATAAGTTGAAAGATAATTTATTAGGAAACATAATCAACACAGTTACGTACACATAAATAAACACACAAAGGTATATATATATATATATATATATATATATATATATATATATATATATATATATATATATATAAAGAGAGAGAGAGAGAGAGAGAGAGAGAGAGACTAGGTTCAAATGTTTTTAACAAGTATTGTGTGCCTAAATCTACCAATGAGAATTCAAGAAATAATAAACAATTAAATAAATCATTTAAGGGTATTTTGGACCATTTATACTTTTAATTAAGGAAATCATTTAATTGAATCTTGCAATTAAGGAAATAAAATAAGTATATTTGACCTAGCCTCTCTCTTAAATCATGTTTAATAAAACCTCCAAAATCCTCAAACCCTTTTCACTCTAAGTTCACCAACCGGACCACCAGGTTCAATCCCCTGCCCACTTTGCCACCATAGAAACGTCTCCTACAAGAAGCCCACAACCACAAAACCGCTTCCCCAAACGTTGAAATCCACCTCATTCCTCTTATGCTGGTCGTATTCTTCAATGGCGGAGATCGATGATACAATTGCAATTGAAAAATTCTTCAATGGCGGAAGATGCGAAGGAAGGCAGTCAACGGTTCTTCATTCCTCTCCCGTCATCAGCAGTAAAGAAGATGAAGGGGAAGATCCCCCGGTGCTCATCTTCGTCGGATTAAGGAGGAGAAGCACGATTGGAATCAGAAATCGGGAAGCACCTCCAGTGCTTCACCGATTCAAAGAAGGAGGAGGAAAATATCGATTCCCGGTGAGCCTTCCATGACCATCATCGGTAGAAATCGACGTAAACGAGTGGGAAATATCAATTCTTCTCTTTGACTTTTGAATAGATACTTTGATTATAAAAGTCTAATTCAGTAATTGGTTTGGAATTGTTTTTATACTTGTTCTCTTATGTTTTATTGTAGTGATTTTGAATATAAAAGTCAATTTATGTTAGAATCTTGTGTTGCATATACTAGCTTTAGTGGTTTTGTTTTTCTAAACCATTTGAATTGAGTAAAATTATATCAAAAAAACTAAAAATTTCTGAGTTTTGTAGATAATAAGAAGAAAACAAAAACTAAAAGTTGGTATGTATTTTTTGTGGTGATGTAAGCAGGAACATGCGTTTCTTTCGAATATTCATGATTCAGATATTCTGTTGGAATTTAATGTATGTTAGGATGATGCAGGAATGATGAGGAAACTTATGAAAAAAAAGATATGTGATACTTCAATCTCAAAGAATGAAAAAAAACAACAATATTCTTTCAGAATTTCAGGATTCAACATCCAAAAACAACAATATTCTTTCAGAATTCAAGAAGAAAACATGGAGAACGAGAGTATTCTAGCAGAATGTTGTTATTTTTTAAGAATGTTATTCATGTTGGTTGATGTTCTTTTAGAATATTTATAACTATTATAAAATGTATAAGACTTTTAGTCTATAAGAATATGTATGAATTTGTATTTAAGTTCGGATGTATACGAACATATTAGAATGTTTGTTATTCTTCAACATCTTATTCAAGAATTTTGTTTTTCTTTAATAATATTCTATTAGAATAAAATTCTGAAAGAGTATCATTCTAACAAAAAATATTTTGATAGAATAAAATTGGTAAAAATTGAAATTGAATTAATTAAAAAATTCAGATTTTTTTAAATTAGGAGAATTAATTGTCCCCAAAAATTCAGAATATTTCCTTTTATAAATAGAGTTAATCGTCCAAAATACCCTTTTGCTAAAAATTGTATGATTATATGGTACAAGTTACCCCATTGTAATATCATACACTCTCAAATCATGTCCATTGATTAATTTAATTCGTTGGTCCATATCTGTAACGACCCGTTTCCGGTATGTTAATTAATTTGATTTGGGCTAAGTTTTCAAGAGGGACTCGGCGAGTTCTAGCCTGACTCGCCGAGTCGGGTCGCGCATCTTGTGCACGCGGGAGCCGGCGACTCGGCGAGTCCATATCCTGGACTCGGCGAGTCCGTCCGTCTGGGTGAAACCCTAACTCCCCGAGTTTGCTCACTATTTAAACCCCATTATAGCCTCCATCTCGTCACTTTCCCCCTGAGAGCACTGTGAGAAACCCTAAACCTTCCTCTTGTGAGCTTATAAGTGATCTTGTTCCATTTTGTGAAGGGGTGAAGAAGGAGAAGAAGAAGGAAGCAAGGAAACGAGTTCTAGTGCCAAGATCCAAGATCAAGTGTGAACTTATTGAGGTATTTTCGGAGTTCTCTTCTGGTTTCATGCTTAAACTTCCATTAGAGCTCTTTTAAGGGCTATTTGATGCTTGTTCCAAGCTTTATGCTTGCTTGAATGTGTTATTAAGCCGAAATACCTTTGGATCTGAGTGTTGGGGTGTTGTAGAGTCCAGATCCACTGTCTTTTTGGAGTTACATTGCTTATTAGCCATGGATCTACCCTTATTGTGCATATTTTAGTCTTATTTCCCTCATTCATGTGGTTGTGCACGTAAAGTTGGAAACTTTACGTGGTAAAACAGCTTAATGGACCTAGATCTATCATTTGCATGTGTTGGATTCAAGAGAAATCGAGTAAAAATATGTTGCATGGCGGCGACTCGGCGAGTCGGAAGAACGACTCGACGAGTCAGGTCGCGAGTCCCGAGTTCTTCAGTTTCTTCAGTGTCGAGTGGACGAGGTGAGTTAGGGAGTGGACTCAGCGAGTTAAGAGTAGACTCAGTGATGGAGGGACTCGGCGAGTTTGTTCATACAACTCGGCGAGTCCAAGGCAATCTTCTTGAGGATCAAGAACAACTCGTCGAGTCTGTTCATCTGACTCGGCGAGTCGGATGAAGATCATCTGAGTTCTTGGATCCAGAGGGTACTCGTCGAGTCGATGCCACACTCGACGAGTAACAGCATGTAAGAGTTGAGCGGAGAGTCTAGGACTCGGCGAGTCGGGTATCCCGACTCGGCGAGTCAGCCCTGAGTAAGTCAACTTTGACCAAGGGTAAAAGAGTCATTTTACCCTGAGTGTAGTGCTAGTGATTGATTGAGTGTGTTTATGGATTTGTAGCCGAGGAGATTCAGGAGCAGCAGCCGTTAGCTTTCCGAGCCACACACTCATCCGCTAGCTTACGAGGTGAGTTTCCTTCCCGTAGGGGCGGGTCTAAGGCCACAATGCCGGCCCGTCCAGTTAATAGTAGTTTCCGGACTTCGGTCCGATGTAGTAGTTAGTATGTTTGATGCCTTCGTGGTTCAGACATAATTCATGTGCTATGTGTTATGTGTTTTATGTTCCGGGTTGCGGCCCGATGCAGTATGCAGTATGTTTGTTATGATATGCTATGCTATGCTCAGTCAGTTCCGGACTCCGGTCCGATGCAGGGGACACGGTCCCAGTCAGTTCCGGACTTCGGTCCGATGCAGTCAGTTCCGGACTTCGGTCCGATGCAGTTAGTTCCGGACTCCGGTCCGATGCAGTTAGTTCCGGACTCCGGTCCGATGCAGTTAGTTCCGGACTTTGGTCCGATGCAGGGGACAAGGTCCCAGTCAGTTCCGGACTTCGGTCCGATGCAGTTTCCGGGCCCCGGCCCGATGCAGTGGGCAAGGCCCAATATGTGTTTATATGTTGTTGTATGGTATGTGGTAAGTTGGGGGAGCTCACTAAGCTTCGTGCTTACAGTTTCAGTTTTGGTTTCAGGTACTTCCGCAAGCAAAGGGAAGAGCTCTGGGTGACGGCATCGCACACACCACCGTTTCAGCTTTAGTCTGGATTTGATTTAGTTGTTGTTTTTGGATATAGTATGTTACAGTTTCCGCACAGTACTTTATTATATTTTGGGGCATATCACGCATGGTTTATTTATATGATACTCTGATTATAGTTTTGATGGTATTAAAAACGAAATTTTTGGGTCGTATTTTTGGGTCGTTTCAAGTTGGTATCAGAGCCCTGGTTTGAGGGATTCGGATACACTCTCGGGTGTATCTGAACTCAAACTAAGGGGAAATAAAAGATTTTTAATAAAATGTTTTTACAAAAGAATTTTGAAAACACTTAGAAGGAAAAGAATTGTTTTAAGATAGAGGTGTGTGCATGCGGTCAACCGAGCTCAAGTAAGTACTCCCAAATTACCCATACAAGTTATTTGTTCAATTTCAGTTTAGTAGAACAGCATGCTAGAATAGGACTAAGGGTGTAGGAGAATGCCTTATGTGCCTGCTTATGTGTTACAGCTCTATGAATATTGCATGCTAGAATTGAGTAGACAGCAGTAGGATAGCCTGTTTAGGTTATGCCTGATAGTATGAGCTTAGCATCCTATGCTAGTGCAGTTTCTTGTTATAAGAATAGCTTGCGTGAGTCTGTTTCCCTTGTCCGAATGCTGCTTGCTTTGTGCTTAGTGGGATTCCGAGTAATGGGAGTTAGCCATTAGGTGGACACGTCACACCACATGTAATCAGGTTTGAATAATCCCAGAGTGCTGGAACTGGCCCTACTGCGCAGCTCTTGTTTGAGTCCAACCGTTGTAGGGACGGATCTTTTACTTGAAGGATTATCCGATCCTCATCACATGTGATGGTGTTCAGGTGATGGCTAACTGGCAGTGCAAGGAGACCTACAGCAGCTGAGGACCAGTCGTATTGAGCTCGAGTTTTCTCTAGGGCAAGCCTAGGGTGAGAGTAGCAGAGAATAGCAGCGGTAGAAGTGACTTGGGGAAGTCGAGGCAGTTCTTGAGGAAAGTACGGATAGATGTGGAAGGTAGTAGGGGCCCATACTACTGGAAGCAGAGGATCCGTACTCGAATCAAGGAAGGCCAAGATTAGACCAGGAAGCTAGTAGTCGTATCATGATCCCTTGAAATATTTCAATGTTCTGATGTTGTTATGATATGTTTCAGAATGGTAGTTTTGCGTCCGAGGCCAGCAGCCGGCAGTTCAGATGCCGGAGGAGGATCAGGATCGGGATCCGACCCGGAGGTCGGACAGATGGATGAGCAGACCAGAGAGTTCCTTTCTTCTGAGATTACTCGCATCATACTTGAGCAGACTCCTGTGATCTTCGGTTCGATCAAGGAGGGCATTTTGGAGATGATGGATGAGAGACTGAGTACCTTCCGTACTGAGATGGCGCCGTGATGGGGTCGCGCACACTCACTTTCAGGGAGTTCAGGGCATGCGGGGCTCCTGACTATCACGGGGCACGGGACCCCATAGCGAGTACCAGGTGGTTGGCGGATGTGGCCAACGCATTCCGCACTAGCAGATGTCCCGAGGGGGACAAGGTCAGATTGGCGTCCTGTCTCCTGAAGGACAGGGCACGTGACTGGTGGGAGGAGGTAGGACATACCATCGGGGATGATGCGGCATTGGATGCCATGACCTGGGCTGATTTCTCTACCAGGTTCAGAGCGGAGTTCGCACCGGTCATTGAGGTGCAACAGTTAGCCAGGGAGTTCCAGGATCTTACCCAGACTACCGAGACAGTGGCGGAGATCACCGCCAAGTTCAGGGAGCGGGCCCTTCTTGTTCCTCAGTATGCAGCAGATGAGGAGATGAAGAAGGCCCGTTATCACGAGATGTTGCGGAGCGACATTCGTATGTTTGTGAGCCGGTCCAGTTGCAAAACACTGGACGACATGATTGCTAGAGCCAGAGAGAGGGAGATTGATCTCGAGATGGAGAGGAAGAGGAAACCGGAGGCGGTTTCGGGTGCAGGCAGTGTGGGCAAAAAGATCACAGGTCCAGGGGTCAGCAGAGCCACGGTCGATGTGGCAAGTGTGGGAGGTTGCACGA